TGGAATTGAACTCAGGACCTTCTTGCTGTGCTGCAACAGTGCTAACCACCGTGCCACCGTGCTGCCTAATTTGTTTCTCATTTGTTCTAAATTTCCTTGGATTGTAGCATGATGCCTGCCTTAAATCGTGGCTGTCTGGCTGTTTGTTTGATGATCTGAATAATTTTAGTGAGACAATCATACAAAAAAATAGGAAGTCAGGACCACACCACTGCACATATTGACTGTAGGTGTGAATGTCAGCGTAGCTGTCTGTCTTTATGAATTAGCCCTGCAATATATTGCCGACATGTCTCGCCCAGTGACAGCTGATAGGCTCCAGCTCACCACATCTCCTGAAAAAAAATAAACAAATCCTGAATTGGATAAACATAACAAAATGGATGGATAGATGATGGATGGTTGTTTCCCTGAAATTATAAAAAGTATAAATGGAGTCTGAAGTTGTTTTTTTAATGCTCTTTAGATACCCACATAATCTTTTTTCTATTGCAATGACTGTCAATTGATATTTTATCTGCCATTCTATCTATCTGGGGTTCAATTGGAATGAATCTTAAAATCTTTAAATCACAGGTTTCTTGTTATACTCACATAGCAATATTTGGGAACTAGACAGTTAACATATATTACATTGTATTAGTCTGTGAGATGGGGCTGTTGATTATGTATTATTATTTGCTTTAATGCTGTAGTTATTCTTTACCATTTTCTCCTGTCTGTGTTTGTTTTGAAAATGTACTTCTGAGTGGATGAGCTGCTGCAAACCAAATCTACCTGCAAGTAAAAATAAAGTAACCTGAGCCTTTACCTGAACCAGAGAGGGATAAAATGCTGTGCCTGTGTAAAGTGGGACACCTGGCACAGCGACTCATATGTGTTGTTGTGGTTGTGTTTTGGGAATTTTTTTTGCATGCATGCAAATTGTTTTATTTGGTACTTTGAATAGTATTGTTCCATGTTGTGGATGTTTATTTGTTATTATACTGTATATATCATTCAGTTACTTTTTTAAATGCACTGTCTCGCGATTTCTGTTCAAATAAAATAATAAACCCAAAGAAACATGTGTGAAATGTCAATACTAATAATAACTTTATTTGGATAGCACTTTTACTTTATTAACAGTCAGTAGCGGTTTTAGATACGGGCGACACGGGC